TGAAATATCAACAACTTTCTAAGTGGTGGCTTCAGCCTGGTCAACTTGTTTTATACACTTGCATCCTGACTGTTTACGTAATTTTACAAACAACCGTTTGCTTGCTTCTTCTATTTAGTTCGAATTCTTTGGTTCACAGCGACACCCTTTGTTTTGTATTTCGCACTATATTTGATTCACCTCAGGTATCATTCTCGCCTAAACCTGACGACTGATGTGTATTTCGTGTCTGATTTCTAGTAGTCGCATGATTGGTTTTGTTGTGGACATGCATGTTTCACATAATGATTACCACTATGTCAATCTACTTATCTTAACGTTTTTATCCAGTTTAGAGTTTTCATCCTTGGTATAAAACCGATATATGCTGAAAAACTTTCGGCGAATATGTAATATAACCAGGAAAAATAGAGACTACGTATCTAGGAAATGGTGTAATGTGAGCTTCTTCCTTGGTAAAAAACTGGTAAGTGCAGAACAACATACCACCAATATGTAATATAACCACAAGAAGTAGATACTGCATATTTAGGAAATAGTATGATCTGAAAATACGAAGTAGCGTGTAGCATAATAATATTATGGTTTTCATTCGTAATTCAGCAGTCCATTGCAGTACATAAAAATGGAATGTTTGTTTTATAGTCAGCACGAAAGAAAAACCACTAAAGCGAAGTAGTGGTAGTTTTGCATAATTTATGATTAATGCATGTACGGCTTTGTTTTATTATATTATGCTTTTATTTCATGCGTGACATAGTATATATATATATATATATATACGAGTATATAATATAGTCTACTCCACTAAAGTGAGTGGTAATCTAGACTGTATGATTTGCTGGTTTCTCTGGTAGTTACTTTTTATGTATTAATAATATTCTGCGGTTCATGCAATTCATTCCTTAAATTAAGCTTACCATTTACGTTTTGACCTAACCCGTAACTGATGAGGTACGTGTTAGCTCTTCACGGAGCATGGAATGGTAAGAAAATTAAAGGTCTCCTTTGCTACTGATTAGAACCTAGTATGTGATAAGAATTACAAAACTCCGATATGCATGCGTTCAAAACATTTAAAAAAATTGCTTATTATACACTGCCATGTGTTTTGTTAGCATTTGTTGGCCGATTGTTTGCTTTATTACATTCCAAGAAAAAACAGTTCTGACTCATAATTAACGATAATTTGTAACATTTTTTGTTGTGTTACGCCTAACTAGAATGCATTTTCAGATAATAAAATCTATCTGTCTAATTATACGAATTTCTTTGGAAAGGAAATGGAAACTATCGGATTGTGGTGATATACTAAGTCTGATTGAATTAATTGCGACAAAATATGGTAGGAAACGACCTACAGTTATCAAAATTTGTTAGCAAGTTACTTGTCACCTTATTCGAACACTCATAATGGTTTTTGTTTATGAAGCCTATCCATTAGTAAGATAATAGACGTGTTTCATCGGACTGAAGTCAAGCGAAGAGTAGGTAATTCAAGATTTAGTAGAAGTTACAACATTTTCAATACAACTCTAGAATCTTTTTTTTAACATTCCTGTCAATAAAGTCTTGTACTGAAACATTTGCGGCTTTAAATTGAGCTCAGATTCGGCCAATCTTGAATATAATCGTTTTGCTGAAAACCTTTTCAAACCCCCTCTCATGATCCCAATAGAATAAAACTTTCTAGTAGACTTAATAAAGCTCGCTATTTATTTATCTTCAGTGAGTGTATCTCTTCCAGATTTCGCAACTGTCATCTTTAATATGACAGCTGACAGTTGAGCAGTGTGTCGACACATTACGTGGACGAGCAACGCTTAGGCCCGGGTTTTCAATCGCAAGTTAACTGCAACTTGATTGTTAACCAGAAATTAACTCTCAAAAAGCGTTTTTCAATAGAAAGTTCCTCCTAATGTGGTATTTAACTTCAGCCAGATGACCACCCAACTAACAATTATCACTCCTATTAGAGTTGCAAAAATGATTATACAGTATGCCTTACACATCATTGTATACTGTAAGAACATTTTCAAAACCCTCTTAGAACAGCTATACAAGCGGAATAGGCACACCTAATAGGACACTTCAGTCATTTAAGAGTTTGTATAAGGGCTGCAGGTAACATTTATACAACAAAAGTGTAAGCCCCGTTATAGGACATTTGGGTCAGTGCAAGACTCAGTTTTTGTCAACTATACAACTATTCTGTTACGTGATTCTACTTTATTGCAACCAAACTTTTTCTTATGTATTGCATAGACGAAGTGAAGAATATATAACTAACACATTACAGTCATCTTGTTTACTTTCATATCGGGCATTGTAAATTTCATACACAGGTATATGATAAACTTCTACACTGTGATATAGGGCTATTGAATTACTTGCGCAGCAAATTTTATTGTGATTATCGTGCAAAGTAGTTACGCAATTTCTACGGGCTTCTTATTTCATGCATATTTTGATAATGATCAAAAGTATGTCTAGATTTTTAAGTTGGAAAACTGAACTTATCTGCGTCAAATCTTCCACAAATCCTATATTTAGACACAATTACACTAATGTTTATCACTTTATATCTGTAATTTCGAACTGAAACATAATTACTTAATATCAAATAGAGGAATAAATGTTTGCCCAATGTGGCGGGTGGTTGTGTATAATCATGGCATCATCCATGTTGTCTTTAGGTTATTAGAATATTTTGGTGTTGCCTGCAGGTGTTATACAACAATTTGACAAATGTCTGAATTGAAATACCGACAGAGTCGAATGATTCATCCAGAATTTGTACCAGATCTATATCTTCTGTTTGAACAGTTGATAAAACATTTTGAACCAATATGCATGCGTTGTTTGTCTTAAAACATTGGTTATGGCATTTTAACAAAAATATGACAGCAGAAAGTTCGGTTATGGTGAAGTTGTATACCAACATATTTAGCATATCTACATCCCTTAACAGTTACTAAACAACAGTTGTATAAGTGCTTCCTTTGGGAGCAACTTGTTGGCTAAAGTAGTAATATGCTCAGCAAAACAACAAGGCTCGGGTTTGTTTTATAAACGTTACCATGGATGCCACAATACAACCATTTTGACTAACGTGCAAATATGCCGGATAAAATAGTTGTATAAACGTTTATGCAACAGTTAAAAATTTGTCCTGTAAGGTGTTGCATAACTATGCTAAAGAATATTTTAAACACCTCATCTTAGAGCAAATATGTTGCAGAAAGCAAATTTGCATTCCACACAACATTAAGCCATCATTTTGGTGTTCAGACAACAACAATAGAGAGCTTTTATGGCTGAATGGTTCTTTTACCAAAAGCTTATAGCACTACTTTGCTAGTTGGGCATGTATGGGATAACTATAAAGTTGTGGTCAAACCGCAATATCTAACCTAATGGGCTTGACAATGACACAAGTTGTCATGGACGATACGAGACAGAAGTAACATCATGAAACGAAAGGCTGCTGCACCAACGGTTTATAGATTGTTACCAGAACTTGAAAAACGAATTCTCAGGAAACTGATAGACCTCTTGCTAGTCACAGTTACCTAACTTAAAAGTTAACCAGCGATTGAAAAGCCGGGTTTTGAAGTAATGTTGAGTGAGTGAATGCTATAACATTATTTATACTAATGCAGTGTATCATTGATCTGAGCTTTCAACAATTTATCTTTAAAATCACTTTATAAAGCTAGGTTAGCAATTTTTGAACATTTAGGAGATGTACAGGTTTACTTTCTGCGCATACGCTAAAATCCGTCAGTATTTGAGACGACCGGTTAGCATTACTCCTTCAGCGGTTAAACCACACGTACCATAAAATTATCTACAAAGTCTGTTTATTTTTTCTATTTGTAAATTGTTTATAATGCCATGGTTTTGCCGCTTTTTATCCAATTTCCGTCCTAAGTATAGATACTAAAGTGATACCAGCTGGTTATTCAAATTCATACAATCTCCAATATAATGTTAAAATTACCTAAACGTATCATTAGATATGCAAAGAATTAATGTATTACTATCACGAATTGGGGAATAGATCTCTCGGAAAATTTATTCAAAATGCTGTAGCGAGATAAAACGCACGCTGGCAGACTGCAGAAAATCCTCTTCGGTTATCTTAAAACGTATCACGGTCGGTTCGACTGAAAAAAGCCAAGAGAGCGTGAACCTATAATCAGGCAGAAATTTAATACGTTGTTAAGCCATGGGGATCTGGAGCCCCACCCATCGGTAGTGCTGCCCATTATCCCGGGCTCTTTCAAGCTTTAATCATCAATAGCGAATTCCTCAAATCATTCGGAATGCAAGCTCAGTGCCGTGGAAAGTTTAACCTAGGTATAGGGTGAGAAATTTTGCGGAATTTTGGGGGAAACTAAAATGACGTTTTATGATTCTTAAGGCAAACCTGTCCCTCATATCGATTCATTTGTAACAATACACTATATGATTGGCAAAGCTATACTTTAGGATTAAATAACAAAGTTTGTGAAGGGTGAAATGTTGATTTAGGACGTGCAGGTTTCATTTTACTTCCTACTCCAATAGGCGAGGAAGTACTGTAATCGAAAATTGCATATTTTTGGACGGTACATGAAGTGAACATCGCGAAAAGCTATGCCACTCATTTCCCACGGTCTGTCTGCCTGTCTCTCAGACTGCTTGTTTGTCCGTCTGACCCCTGTATAACTTGGAAAGCACACTTTCGATTTTTAAGGAATTTAGACACACATTGCCAATGATGAAAGTCCTATGTTGTTTTTGAAAATAAATCCAGTGGCGGCGAAGCTAGAGGCAAGAACAAATAAAAGGGTTAAACTACGTTTCTTGATCTTTCATAGACTCCTGCTCAATTCTAGATTTTTTTAGAGGGGGGTTGAAAATTGGGGTCTACGGTCACTAAAATACGTCCTTTTATTGAGAAGCTTCTGACTCCGCTAATATTACGCATATATGAGATATTGTAATTGTCATACCTTTGCTGAACTACAACTGACGGTTCAGTCTGATCCCCCGACAGACCAGCCAGCAACACTGGTAAATCCTTCGACGGTTTACGGTCGGTTTTGCTCTCCCATCTCTGACCTCCCTCGTATACACATATTTTTTAAACAGACGAAACATAATCTACGCCATTCTTCTCACTTTATCGATTCAATTCTAGGCGGGTTGCAAAACTCAACCTTGATTTTGTACCATATGTCAAAATCTCGTGTTTTACAGTCAGTTATAATATGCACACGCACACGTCTCAAAGTTTGTTCATATACTGGGTGCTTCAAATTCGAGTTTCACCTGAACGGCCTCGGAAACGGTAAGAAATACGGAGTCAGTTGGATGCGGGCAATATTTTACATTTAGGTATGTAAGAAATAACACTCAGAAAGTTTCACAATTCCGAGGATTTCCGGAGGTAGACGGAAAATACCGAGTTTTGTCAAAATCGCTTTCTATACTAAGTGACATATAAATCCGAACACCCAGTTTAAATGGTTTTATTTTAATAAAAGTTGGTGAATGCATTTATCTTACTGTAAATAACAAGTGAAAAAATTTTCAGCCTTATCAGTTTGACATTCCGGTTTTTAACTGCTTTTTTTTAATTCACTAACGCTCTAAAAATGAATATTTCAGCCGCAGTAAAGAATCAACGTTGGCGGATTTTGGTTCTTGACATCCTTTACGATCGGTTACGAAGCCTAGAGTACGGAGACCTGTACGATTTCGTCAACCTAGTGAGTTTGATATGGGCCGTATAGTGGGACTTCGGGAAGCTGGACTTTCATTTCGGGCAATTGCAGTTAGAGTGCAAAGAAGTGTAGACACTGTGGTTAGGTGTTGTCAGGCATGGCTTCGAGAAGGCCGTACGCAAAGAGCAAGGGGCACTGGACGCCGCCGTAGAACAACAGACCGTGAAGATCGCCGCCTAAGATTATTGGCCTTAAGGGACCGTTTCTCCACTACCAGGTCCATTGCAAATGAATGGTTTGCAGAACACGGAAGACGACGTGGTGAAAGGAGGAATCCACAGTTTTTTGTTGAAAGACATGTTCATCACACTGTTGGAGTTATGGTTTGGGGTGCTATGGCTTATGGTTCCAGGTCACCTTTAATCTTCATCAGAGGTAACATGAACGCGCAGCGTTATATCCACGAAGTTCTAGAACCCCATCTTTTACCCTATCTTGACACCCTGGCAGATCCAACTTTCCAACAAGATAATGCCCGACCACATGTTGCAAGAGTCACAATAGACTTCTTTCAACATAATGATGTCACATTGTTACCATGGCCACCAAGATCTCCCGACTTATCCCCAATTGAGCACGTGTGGGATATGATGGGTAGGAGATTGCTCAATTTGCAACGTCCTCCTCAGACTCTAGAAGCACTTCGAGAGGAGTTGGTGGTTGCCTGGAATAAGATACCACAGGAGGACATTGACCACCTGATCAGAAGCATGCCTAGGCGCGTTGGAGAATGCGTAGCACATCAGGGTGCATCCACACATTATTAAAGGTCAAAGGGTTTTAAAGCAGTGCAATCATTTTGAAATTTTTATCCTTTACTTATTATGCTTCATTAAGTACTTATACAAAATTTTATTAAAATAAAACCATTTAAACTGGGTGTTCGGATTTATATGTCACTTAGTATATTTCAAAATAAAAAAAATTAACATTTCCACTTTCTCTCTTCTACAAGACGGCATATTTAGAATTTCAATATGACATTTCGTCTCTTGTCCTAGATCATCGACTTTTCTTTTTCTTATAGACGCCATACGTGATTCTTAAACAGGTGGATACGTAGCTATTTAAAAAAAACAATTTTAAATTATCATATAATGATTTGTCTCACAATATCATCATCAACGCATTCCTTCAGTTTTTACGAACTAAGCATAGGTGAACAATATCTATTTCCGATTGTATCGATCATGACACTTCAAATGTCTAAAAACGTAATCTTCCTATAGTTGGTCTTATCGAATAGAGAATATAACGCCAAAATTTTCTCACATTATTTAACGGTAGTATTGAAAACACTGACACAGTAGTATGTTACGCAAGTAATAAAATATTATAGACTAGATAAGAGCCTCGACAGTGCAGCTTCCTAAACATCTTCCACGTTCGCCATATTCAACACACATTTTGCATACATAAAAATAGATTGTACGCTTCAGCACAAAATATATAATCCTCCATGTTTGTTTGCTTGAAATACTATTTTGCTGACGTTTCGGTCATCATGGTGAAACTCTAGCTATGCTATCTTGTATAAGACAAAAAGTGCTAATGTCCTTTTTACTTTGAAATTCAATCTCAAATAAAGTCTTAAAAAAAGAAAACCGTTGGGTTCCTGCCGTTTATCTCCGGAAATACTCTGAACTGTAAAAGTTTCTAAGTGCCATTTTCTTAGCTACTTAAATGCACAGCTTTAGTTGACTTCGTATCTCTTACTGTTCCTAATATCCGGATGGTTAGTGAGTCTTATTTGAAACATCCGGATTGAATAGATACATTTCCTAATCGATATTTATGATTTTAAACATAGTCTTCGTGGGAAAAGTTACAGCTTCGTTAGCAAAGGGTCATGACAATCATTAAGAGATCATATTCATAATGATAGGGCACTTCTCTCCTAAGATTACAACGGTCTATGAGATCTCCATATGCCACATGATATATCACAGAAAACTACAATCACGGATTCTCATTTATTATCTATTAGCAAGGCACTCAAATTGCACCCAGTGAATATAGACTAATTTAGAATGGACTGTGGAGCATATCATATAAAGCAGATATACAATGTGGTATTATTCCTTACATATCTGAAAGGACAAAAAAACCTCAACATGATTTGTAGTTTAGCTTGGTTCCGTTTTTATTACTTCAACCTATTGTGTATAAATTTTTTTACTATCGCTATGGCACCATATGGCAAGCACTAATCCAAGATTTTGTATAACAAAGTCCTTGCAGGTGTTGTTCGATCAAGGAGCGAAGTCTTATACAGCTTGAGTAACAGCCATATTCATACTGACTTGGGAAAAATTGCAAATGGCATCTACGATCAATTTCTTGAGCCTCACTTCTAGGTATTGACGGTAGAATCAGCAATAAGCCAGTTCCGGCTATATCAGTATAAAGAATAGGTGTACGGGATGTACATATTTTAGATCTGAAACTGCACGTGCACGGGTAAAATGTTCATTTTCTTATTCAATAATTTGAGAGATTACAATGGGTTACGTATTTGTAGATGTACATTTATAACTCGAATATTAAAATGTCGCATATATGAAATTTTTGCATTTAAATGCTTCAGAACATGTATATTTTAAAGTATAATTTTGATCAACGATTTCCTTACTGCTTTTGTACTTATTGTTTTTTTGAAAGCCCAAAGTTTGTAATTTTGGCATTTTTTCTAAAATTCCACATGTTTAAATATACTAAGTGACATATAAATCCGAACACCCAGTTTAAATGGTTTTATTTTAATAAAAGTTGGTGAATGTATTTATCTTACTGTAAATAACAAGTGGAAAAATTTTCAGCCTTATCAGTTGGACATTCCGGTTTTTATACTGCTTTTTTTTTAATTCACTAACGCTCTAAAAATGAATATTTCAGCCGCAGTAAAGAATCAACGTTGGCGGATTTTGGTTCTTGACATCCTTTACGATCGGTTACGATGCCTAGAGTACGGAGACCTGTACGATTTCGTCAACTTAGTGAGTTTGATGGGGGCCGTATAGTGGGACTTCGGGAAGCTGGACTTTCTTTTCGGGCAATTGCAGTTAGAGTGCAAAGAAGTGTAGACACTGTGGTTAGGTGTTGTCAGGCATGGCTTCGAGAAGGCCGTACGCAAAGAGCAAGGGGCACTGGACGCCGCCGTAGAACAACAGACCGTGAAAATTGCCGCCTAAGATTATTGGACTTAAGGGACCGTTTCTCCACTACCAGGTCCATTGCAAATGAATGGTTTGCAGAACACGGAAGACCTATTGGCATGCGAAGTGTTTTCCGACGAATGAGAAGTTTTGGATTGTTTTCATACCGGCCTCACTGGGTCCTCCCTTTAACTCGAGAACACCGACGTAATCGCCTTGAGTGGTGCAGACAACCATCACTCTGGGATCAGGAATGGAACAGTATTGTCTTTAGTGACGAGTCTCGATTTTGTTCAGGCATGTACGATGGTCGTGCCAGGGATAGAAGGCGACGTGGTGAAAGGAGGAATCCACATTTTGTTGTTGTTGAAAGACATGTTTATCACACGGTTGGAGTTATGGTTTGGGGTGCTATAGCTTATGGTTCCAGGTCACCTTTAATCTTCATCAGAGGTAACATGAACGCGCAGCGTTATATCCACGAAGTTCTAGAACCCCATCTTTTACCCTATCTTGACAGCCTTGGCAGATCCAACTTTCCAACAAGATAATGCCCGACCACATGTTGCAAGAGTCACAATAGACTTCTTTCAACATAATGATGTCACATTGTTACCATGGCTACCAAGATCTCCCGACTTATCCCCAGTTGAACACGTGTGGGATATGATGGGTAGGAGATTGCTCAATTTGCAACGTCCTCCTCAGACTCTAGAAGCATTTCGAGAGGAGTTGATGGTTACCTGGAATGAGATACCACAGGAGGACATTGACCACCTGATCAGAAGCATGCCTAGGCGCGTTGGAGAATGCGTAGCACATCAGGGTGCATCCACACATTATTAAAGGTCAAAGGGCTTTAAAGCAGTGCAATCATTTTGAAATTTTTATCATTTACTTATTATGCTTCATTAAGTACTTATATAAAATTTTATTAAAATAAAACCATTTAAACTGGGTGTTCGGATTTATATGTCACTTAGTATATATATATTCTACATATTATTTTGTATAAGCTATGGTCGCAACACTTGTTACTTCAAATTTATGAATAATAAAACACACTTTGGATTTAAATTAGGAAATGTTGCGACCATGCGTTTCAGTAGAAATAGCAATTTAAATATTCGGAAATGGGTGGATTATTGGACAGAAATGCCAAAATTACGAAAACTGCTTTTCTAAAACGATCAAGTGCCGAAAATAAAAAGAAAGCGTTTATGAGGGTTTATGTTCAGAAATATATGGATGCAAAAATTTCGTAGATGAAATCAACTTAATATTTCTGT